ACTTTAACGGTGGGATGGATTTTGACTTTAATGTTTGGAAAATCGTTGAGAGGATTCATTTGAGGTGGTGATTTTTTTTAAGGTTTTTAAGTTATTTTTCTCGTGTGATTGACTTCATGTGGTTTTCGTCTTATATCATCCAAGATTAAGAGAGTGCAATGTGACCCTCCCTGACAAGTGTGAGATTGAAATAATTCAACCAGATAATGAAGAAATTTTTTAAAGAAATGGAAGGTATGAAAATAATTCTCGTTACGGAATCTACCAAAGAAGAATTTGCATTAATGGATCATCTAGCAGAACTGATCTATCAAACAATTGCGTTCATCATTAGAGCAGTTCCGGGCATGAGAGCTGTTGTTGTTACTGTAGAATGGGAATAAGTCCTGTGGTTTTTGCCTATCTTCCACCATTAGTTCTACCGCGGTTCTATGAACGGCTGTTGATATGCCTTACACAATGCTGCCGGATGAACGCCGTGCTGATGACGATTTCGACGTATGACTGTTGAGATGATCGTTGAGCATCCGTTTCGGTTCAGTTAAAAGAGGCGTGATCAGGGGAAGGTACCGTTGCTCTATCGACTCTTTGTCCACGCATAAGATCGTAACAATCTTATCGCGACTGTAAAGCGAAAGAATTGGCGACATGGAAAACTTCACCGAAAAACATTCAGCGAACGCTCAGTGTGAATATTTCATTCAATTGATCTACGAACAAGGACCAAAGTTGAACTTTAAATGATAAACAAAATGATAAATGATAAAATTCACTTGATAAGATGACAGATTTGTTTGACTGATCATCGTCAGCATGTGAATGCCTTGTAATAGCAGTTTGCACAATTCTGTTCACAACAAAACATCAATTTACATTCGGCAAATTTACTTCGCTAAATTTGTCTTCAAAACAAAAACAAATCACTCTTAAATGTTCTTATATAAAAACCAATCAAAGTCTCGCCATTTCACTATCATCACCTCTGATAATTTTTTCGAGCTATCCGAAACAAATTTTCAGCCGCTACCTTTTTCATTCCAAAATAATATATTGCGCGCTCAGTTATTAATTAGTGAACACTGACGAAATGAATGTATTATTGACACATTAGAATGTTGCGATTATGAAAAGAATGCCTATTGATCACGCAGTTTTGGTGAATATGACTGAATGGCGGTATTCTATCAACTCAAACATCGAGCCACTCTACCTCATCACAACAATTAATCTCATATAGGCAGATAGTTGTTCGAAACGAATGCTTCAAACATTCTCTCCTTCAGATCGAAGAAAATGTTCGCTGGAGTTACATTCGTAGTCTTTGTGCTGATTACCACACTGCATTCGACGGTCGATGCTTTTTTGGGCTCTGGAATGCTGGGAAATGTCTTCGGAGGATATCGTGACTACGGCAGATACGGAAATTGGGATAGCGGTTATTCTGGATTTTATCCAGGTGGTGGTGGATTTGGCATGGGTGGTGGCTATCCGGGATATGGCAATGGAATCTAAGTTCAGTTTATGTTATAAGTGCTTTCTGATTAGCCGTATCTATCTGAGTATTGAAGTGTTTTTTTTTTTGAATGATTGAACTGTGTTCTCAAATGGCCGGGATCAGAGCTGTCATTTGTCGACCAACTGAGAATTTCAATCGAATATGGGAGGAGACGATTTCAGGTCTGGCGGACTATCAAGTTTGGCACAGATGGCAGGCGGGATAGCGCAACTATTCTCATTTTTTAACTAAACGAGGACATCAGAATGGCTAGACCTCTCAACTGATATTCTGAACATTGAACATTGTCATTATCGTATCAGTTGAACAACTTCGGTATCGTACCACTTCAACATCCATCGTTGAACTTCACTCGACGACAGTATTCACCTCTTATGATTTATGTTCCCATAAATTAAGAAACGAATACGCGTGATGTACTTTTTAATATGGTGTGTGTACATTCGACGACATTCAACGCGTGAAAATGATTTTGAATTGACTTTCAATAACACAACTCTTTCGCTTGACAACCTTCCGTGAAGTGCTTCATATTGTACATAAATAGAATACTTATTGTTTATGGTACTTGAATTTGTAAATCATCATGCTATTTGCTATGTTGTTTGGCGTGCATCGAATCGATCTACATCATGCTTTCGTGATTTGTGATTTTTATACTTCTGAACATGCATTATTATTCGAATAAACGCATTGCGGACTCAACACATTGATCAAAAATCGAGAATGTGAAGGCGACGTCAGTAGAGAGTTGTCTGTAGCCTGTCATTACTGAAAAAACGTTTCGGTTACGAATTCCCAATCGACGGGATATTTTGAGATTTCAACGAATTACAAAGGGCGAT